GTTCAGGTTATCCAGAGGAATTGAGGTTTGTCTCAGAGAAACGAGGAACATTTTAATTTAAAGGCAGTAAAAATAGGAAGACAGAGCAATAAAAATAGAGAAATACATCCTTCTTTTTATATATAAATATTAGAGCAGTTTAACTTCCTGTCCACAAGATGGCAGTATTGATACATGTGTTGGATTGGAGAAATACAGAAACTCCTCATACATTCAGGTTTTCACCATCAACATCCAAACAAACGAGGAATTATTTGAAATGAAAATAAGCAGCTGGGAGTGAAATCTTTCCTGCATTTCTGATAAATAACAAAAAGCATTAATTCACTGGAAGGATTGAGTGAAAATGTCCAAACCTCTGGCCAGAGTGGAGGGAGGGCAGGGATCCTCTGAACTGTGATAACCTGGTAAATGCTCGGTATTTGTGTTTATCCTGCTGAGCAGTCACTCTTTTCCCCTCCCTCATCAAAACAGTGATAAACTGGAGCTGCAGGGGGTTTTTCTGTATGAGATGCATGAGGGAAACAGAGCAGGACTTTATTAGAAACGACACATTCTTTAATTTTCATCAGTGAGGGAGGAGTTCGCCGTCACTGAGCGCCTCGTGTCTGATGCTGGCAGAGTTGAGGCACTTTGTGCGACACAAGAACGCAAATAAACAAGATGTTTGAATTTCACAGATTTTATTTATTTTTTTTAATGAGAAATAAACTTAAAGTGTTTGTTCTTGTTATGTGGAAAAGGCTTTTGCATGTCAGTTCAGGCACCTCAGATTTTGTATCTTGACTTTTTAAAAAATGTATTTACAGTGGATGATGCTTAATGAGCCATTAGAGAATTATTTATTAAGTTGCAGCAGCTTTTACAGAAACTGGGTCAGATTCCCAATTTGTGTCTGAAGTATCGAGCAACTGCTGTACGGAAACGTTTCTCCATCAGGTTCTTCCCTGCAGGGCTTCGCTTCAGAAAAATGGGAAGAAAACAAAAACTTGTGGATCAGGGCAGCTAAAAGTTGGTTGAATTGAGGCGGCGTGATTTAGATGTCTGTGAATTTCACAAAACATCATCCAAACGGAGAGAATGTGCCAAAAATCACAGTACTGGGACACACAGATGTGAGCAACGGCGCAACGTGGCAATTACAGATTAAAAAAGAAGGATTCTTCAAAACGCAGAGATTGATTCTAGAAAATGTCAAGAACATTTCTGAGCTCCAAGTCAAAATTTGCTTGAAAAACTCAGCAATCAAAAAAATTTGACTTTTGAAACCCAGAAATGTTGCAACATTTCTGAAACTAAACTATTTTTTTTTCTTGTAAATTTTGTACTTTTGCAGTTCACAAATGTTCTTGGTTTTTTATTGAAATTTCTGAACTCAATCTCACAATTTCTGAATTATTTTCAAAACAATATTTGCTTTTTCTCACACTCTGAAACTTCCAGGCTTCTGAGATGAATCTAAAAAGTTCTGAGTTTTTCAATCACAAATTTTAGACTTTTGGAGCTCAGAAATGTTGTTTCTGAGATTAAGCTGAAAATATCTGAATGTTCAAGTTTTCAAACTCAGGACTTTCTAGTTTTTTTGTAGAAGACTTCTGATATTTAAAATGTTCATGTTTTTTGGCTTATATTTATTCCTCGTCTTTTTTTTTTCACTCTAATGTGGTGTCACAGTTTCTCCACTGATGGGCGATAAAGGATATTTCTCCTTCTGCTCCCATCAGTCGCTGAATCGTTTAGGAAAGTGTCTCCGGTATTTGATGCGTTAAATAGTGAGGAATATTTTATCCTAACTCTTGATTTTATGAACTTTTCAGAAACTTCTCGGGAGGCTTTGCGTTTCACCTGTCAGCGTTTTGAAATGTGTTTGCAATTACTGAATTTAACACACAGCAGCTTTATTTTCACTTGACACGATGCTCTGGGCTATTGGCATTATTGATTTAAAAATAACAATCTGGTTACCGTCTGAACTATGAACATGTTCACAAATCATTTGCATACATTTACATGGCGTTTGAGATAACTTTCTCCTCCACCAAAAGCAACGTCACTGCCAATTATTTTTGATTTCATTGACATTATTATCATATCAAACCCACGTGAGTCAACAGGCATATTTACATCGTAGGCGAGAGAGACGCCGTTATATCCTCATGAAAAGACGAATTATTAGTCATCAGATGCACAGAAGTTGTAAAAAAAGAAACAATAAGCGAATATATATCTGTTTTATCTCACCAAGCTAATGAGGAACGGGATTAATGGAGAGGAGAGACGGATTTGACTCTTCCATGGATTCAAACCCAGACTATCAATTCTCACACAAACACCCCTGGGTATCAAGAGTCTTTCAAGGAAATTATAACATTTCACACAATACAACCACTGACATTATTCATACAATGAAATTTTAATTGGAAAACAGCATCGAGAAGACTTCAAACAGCAACTCGACTTTTCATTCCCATTGTTTCCCTCTTGTAGCTTTGGTTCTCAGGGGCGTTCGCGCACCTTGTTATTGTGATGACAGAACATCAATTACAAATGCATATCTCTCCTGCTTATCTGTTATTTACAGATGAGGGTTTTTCAAGCTCAGCACGGCGACATGCGTTGTTTCAGATTAGAACCGTTTCAGCAAAGCAGGAAACACAAGCACCATTTTAAGCATTTTATATGTTTTTTTTTATTTTTGCAGACTGCAGCAGTGGAAACAAAGGAGGACAGATCAGTAAGTACAAAACAAAACACAGCAGAGACTCTTGCGACTTTAATTACACAAGCAAAGTTTAACTTGATGCCAAAAACAAAAAAAGAAGAAGTCACTTTGCAACATGAAGTCATCATTGTTTGGTCTCTCTTTCGTTTACCATTTTAAACCTCTTGTAACTTTTCCCTTGATATCGTATGTAAAATTAAGTGTAATTTTTACACCAAAAATGTCTTTCAATGTTTTTTCTTCACCTTTGTTTGTTGTTGTGCGTCTTGTTTTTGGAGCACGATTCTCTTCCTGTTGATTCTTTCACAATTTCTTGTTTTGCCCTTGGAGGGCTGTCGTTGGTTTTGCAAAAAACTTTTATCTGCAGGTTATGTAAGCGGGAAAAGAGACAGAGATATAAGCCGAAAACTTTACTGGGAATACCTCTGCAATCTCATGCAACCTTATAAAACTGTCATAAGTTTGTCTTCTAAATGTTTTAGTAGAAACCCTGAGAGAGGTGATCATTTCTTTTTTTTATTCAAAAAGCAACGTTCAGATGTACCAGACGGGAGAAATTCAATATATGAAAATTAATGCATGTTTATTGGATAAAAAATACAGGAATTCTTTTCAGATATGTGGAGAGCAATAAATCAAAATCAAGAATGTTTAAGCTTTACAGTTTTATTCCTGGATTGCGCTGCGGATCTTTGATCGTTTTTTTTGAAAATGAAAATACGTGAACGATGTGTCAAAAGGCCTCTGAAGTAAAGCAGCGTTGAGTTCAACATTCGAATGAAAAGTGGCCTTTCACAGCTTCTGAATGGAGCCGAAAACACTTTAAAGAAAGTTTATCTGCATTGTTTTTAGTGGAGATTTACTAAAAAACTGTTTTGACACCACCAGCAGCTTTCTTACCAGTGGTTGAGATATTATTGCAAAATTTAGCAATTTTAAACTGCAAATGTTCCTTTTCATAAGTTTCACAGCTAAATTAGTGGGACGTAACATTTTCACTTAAATGCCAACACTTCTATACACTGTTGTCTAGTTTTTTAAATTGTGTGTCACCAGGCTAAACTCACAGGTCTGCTGAGAGAGTCTGTGTCAGGATTTTATTTGTGCAACAATATCAAAGATGAGAAAGTAGTTTTTTGGGAATTATCTGAATAAACTAAAAGTCAGTGGATTGTTGCATCCAGTGAATATTACTTTCATTTATTTATTAAAAATAGCAGAAATGTAGGATGACATTGGTTCAGTAATAGGACATTGCTTAGATGAGAAAACTGTGAGAAAATAAAGAACAGTTAATTAATGTAAATAATTAATACAAATATATAAATGTTTTACAGGTAGCTATGAACCTTTTCAGTTTGTTCTAATTAGCTAAAATTAGCTCTTAGATAGGGCTAAAATATTTTTAAATAGCAATACAGACTTTACTGATATAGAAAACAGTGGCAAAACCAAACAACACCCTCCAGTGAAACAAAGTCAGCTAAGCTAATGTAGCATTGTATGAAAAGATTCAGTTAGTGTTTTAAACTGCTAGCAGTTAGCAGTTTACAACTATGTTAGCATAGTGACAGCACAATGGACATTGATAAACTGAGAAACTGTAACTAGGAACAGTTTTTAAAGTGTAGTCAGCTAATGCAAATATAGCATTGATAACATCAGCTGAAATGCAGGCATTTATCCAACTAGCTAGGTAATTCACTAGCTAGCTAGTTCACTAGATTATGCACTGCATAGCTATCTACATAGCTAGCTAAGGTAGCTAGCTACGTACCTTAGCTATGTAGATAGGTTTGTTTGACCCATCTACATAGCTAGCTAAGTAGATGGGTCAAAGCATAGCTAGCTACCTTAGCTAGCTATGTAGATGGATGGGTGCCTCTGTAAGCTAGAATGCTAGCTAGTGAGGTCTGTTTGAACATTTTCTGTCAGTAAAACAAAATTTACAATGATTTTATACAAAAACAGTTTGCTTTTGCATTAGCTTTGAGGTCTTTTTGAAAATAAAAAGATGTTTTTATTTGCATCATTTTAAAATCTGAAATTTCCTCCTTATATTAGAAAGTGAGAAGCTACGATCTAAAACAGATTCATCACAACATTTGTAAAATTTGCTTCCTAAAATATAGATTTGCAAAAATTCTTACAGATTTTTTAAAATTGAAATTTCCCCCAAAATGTTGCTTGATAAATGTTCTACCTTTTTAGACATTCAGAATAAATAAAAACCACAATTTATTCATCAATAAAAACAACAACAGAGAACAAACTTTTTTTCAAAAGGAAGATTTTAATTGAATTCTGGAACAAAGTTGGAGTCAAATTTAAAAACATGTAAAGAGAGTCCAAGCGAATCAAACAAACCCGACCAACACTTTGGGCATGTTTACCATAGTTCTTTTTTTTTTAAAAAAGCACTTGAATTACAAAAACGTTAAATAACAGATTTAACTTTCAATGACTAAAATGAATAAATTGTGAACAACTGTAAGTGTGTGTAGTTTATATTATGAATCTGCATCCTTAAAGCTTTAGCTAACAATAACAAATAAGAAGCTCAGGAAATACATCGACTGGCACAAACTCAGCAGCCGCAGAATCACTTACAGTAATAGAGCTTGTCCACTAAATATAAGCAAACTGTTAGTATGGCTCAAAAAGTCCAAACTACTCATTTACATAATACAGAAAATGTGCTTCACAACCTGAAAGTGTTTGATTATTACACAGAACATGCTGCTATTAGATATAATAGTGTGGTTAAATCTTTATTGTAGCACCAATCAGGAAAGTTTGCATGTGTATTTAAAGGGGCAGTATCATGTAAAATCAACTTTTCTTAATGTTACAACGTAGTTCCTTCATCAAGAACAACTTTTATCTATTAATCCTTTAATCTCCATGGCAACCATTCAGCTGTGCAAAATGCTGCAGTTTCCAAGCTTCTGCCTCACAGAGCAGCTCCTTCAGACTAGCCAGCATCAATTAGCAAACGTCTGGAGGAACTGCAGATCCGCTGAGGTCGTTATAGAAACTACTTCTCAGTTCAATGCTGGTAGAAACGTTGTAAAAGGGCTCTTAAAGAGACGGGCGCCCAATTTCAAAGCGTTAAGCCAGGAAGTAGAATTTCTTTTAAGTGATAATTGACATCACTTTTATGACTGACGATAACATTGTTAGTGTATTATGCCTGGAGAACACAAATATTGCCCTTTTAAAGCACTGAACATGCGCAAACAGATTTAGTGGAACATAAAAGTTTTTAAAAAAAAGAAGCATTGATTTCATTTGCTAGTATACAACACGAGGCAGTTAATGATGCCTCTGAGAATATAATCAATGAATATGAAATGCTCTTTTTCTACAAATGAGGTCTGGAATATTTCTCAGATTATTTCAGATCCAGAAACCATTAAAATTCAGCGTCAGACTCTGCCCAGCATGCGAGCGATCCACCAGTCGCACGGCATCACGACCTGGCAGATGACCCGGCCTCCTTGGTAGTAGTACGGCCAGGGGTTGAAGCCGCCCAGGGGCTCGAAGTAGCGGCGGCAGTAGCGGTAGCCGCGGCGGCAGTACTGGCAGCAGTAGCCGCGTTCGTCCAGGCGGTTATCCAGCTCGATGCCGACGTCCCTCTGCAGAGGACACAGCGGGGCCGCCATCACACACACATGACAAATGCCGGTCCTCCAGAGGCAAGGGCAGGAGGAAGAGGAGGAGGAGGAGGAATGACTGATAGGAATTGATGAGGTTGCTTTTGGTTCTAGGTCGGAAAAATGTACGCAAAAGGCAAAAAAGAGCCAAAAGATCAGAGCGAGTGTGTGTGAAAATACAGAGTTGTGTCGCGCCTGAGACGAAGCGATCAGGAGGATTGAATGAAGCTACAGGAGCTTCGATATGATGAAACCCTTGACATTTTCTATTATGACTGAGGCAAAGCGACTGACAGTAGCACAGTGAAGCCACCCTTCATAACCTCCCAACCAGCGCTGTTTCCTGTCAAAGGGACTCTTAGTTGCTAGTTACTAACATAATTGCACTATTTCTTTCATCTTTGACCTCTTAACTCCCTCGAATGGAGCATAGACTGCTCTAAAATGGCCGCCCCTCCTCCAGCAGAGCATTCAAATTAGAGATCCTCACTTTTCGCTGCCCTCGCCGTGACCTTGACTTTAAGTGCATGGCACATTCCTAAAGCAATTAGTAGAGTAATGATCGCCTAAGAAGGATTCTTTCATTTGCTCTTGCTGGCTGCCTCTGAATTTATAGAGGGGCCAAATGAAACCCAAACGAAAGGTAAATTGGGTAGAATTAATGGCCCTTGGATTTTTCCATTGTGCTGCTTGGTTCATGCCCCCATTGACTCTTTGGGCTGAGTGCCATGCCTCAGATCAAGAACCTCTGGATGGGGGTTCGGAGAAGTGCCACTTAACTGGCAACACGCGGGTTGAGGTAGCAAAATGCCCTCGGTATTCATTTGACCACATTTCAATCTCTTTTAGTAAATGAATCCTCAGAGACAATCCGGCGCTGGTTAATCTCCTCGGATCCGGAGATTTGGCCTCAACCCGGACACACGCAATGACTCAGCTATACGCAACCATGCAGAACAAAACACATCCAGAAAATGTGTGGGAAATGCTTAACCCTGAGGGAAACGGTCCTGTTTGTCCCTACCACCTCAGAAATAAAGGGATTTCTTCACTCCACTCTGCAAGTCACACAGCAGTAAATCCCTCTTTGTTTTTGTTTATGTCTTTATGCAACAGCGCCTTGTGACTGTTTTTATATCCCTTGAAACTTCCCAGTTTTTGTCACATTACAACCTGAAGGTCAATACCTTTTACTGGGATTTTAAGTGGTAGACCAGCACATAGTGGGGCATAATTGTGAAGTGGTGAAGTGAAAACACTCCAGCAGCAATCGAAATATTAGGAAACAGCTTCATTAGCAGACCGCTGTGTCCTTGTTTCTGGTTTTCATGAGGCGTTTTACTAAACATCAAACAGTTTGTGCTGAAATAAAAAAGTTTACCATGAAAAAAATATTCAAATGGCTCAATCACATCAGCTTTAAAGCTGAAACATGTGGTATATTATGAAACAGATAAAAATGCCCCGCTTCCGGTCAACAACAACCAATCGGAGCCAGGAGGCGGGTCTTAGCGCTGTCAATCAATCTGGTGTATGCTGCTCAATGTGTGAATCCATCATTACAGGAAAACTAGCATTAGCATTCATGGCAGGCTATATCGTAGCAGTTGAAGCTTATGAGCAAGTGAGAGTGATTGACAGCACTAAGACCCTCCTCCTGCCTCTGATTGGTTGTTTCTGACTGAGTGGCGTATTTCTGTAGTTTGTACTGGGAACACTGGGAACAGAAAGAAAGAGGAGATAACATTTTTTACATATGGGGAGACCGATGGTTTCGATCCGGTGAATAAAACCAGGTCGATATTAATAACCAATATTTTTTCACAAATTGTTGCCATTTGTTTTATTTCGTTTTCTGGTGTTGAAGCAGTAAAGAAAATGAAAGCCACTGAAAACCTCCCAGTTATTCCACCAAATATTGATCTCTGAAGTCTTCCTGAGATCAATATTTGGTGGTTTTGTTGTTTTCTTTGCATTATTTGAGGTCTGAAAGAATTGCATCTTTCATTATTTTGACTATTTCTCATCTTCTGCAAATAAACACTAAATTTTGCTTGTAATCTCAAGAGACATTTTGTCTGTAGTTCATAGAAAAAAAGAACAATATTCATTCTACTCAAACATTTACCTATAAAAAGTAAATCAGATGAACTGATCAATCCAGGTGGTCTCTTAACTTTTTCCAGAGCTGTAAATATCAGTAAATATCAGTTATCGGCCATAGCAGCCGTATTAAAGTCTGATATCAACATTGGCCCATATTTTTTTATTAATGTCCTTAAAACTCATAATATGGGAAAAATTAAAAAGTTTTTGTTCCACTTCAGTTTTCATTTTTTGTTCAATATTTAGGAATTAAGCGGCTATTTCTTGCTGAAAGTTACCTCAAGGTAATTTTGTCTTATTTCAGGTGAACTGATGTATTTGCACCAGAAACTGAAATATCGTACTTTAAGATTTTGTGTTTTTAGAGTATAAAAACTTTTGCCTCAATCGGTTTGATGGCTACATAAAATCCGAATAACACGTATTGATGCTTTAAAAAGTGAAGAAGCTGACGGCGATGCGAGTCGTTCTGTGAATTTGCTAAGAGCCAGAGCAGTGAGGGAGTCTGTCATGCGTCTGATTGGAGCGTTGATAAGGCGAGCGGCGTTACTCACACTCACGAGACATATTTAAAACACACAGAAACGGTGCGACAGATAAACATCGAGCATAGCTGCGTTTGATTTATGACTATGACAGGCTCAGGTAGGCTTTTAATGATTTATTGTTCCAGTCGGGTTTCAGGTCATCAGCTTCCAGGCAACAATCTGTTATGGAAACAACACGAAGGCTGTCAATGGACCGACGATAATCTTATCTGCCGCTCGCAGCCCGAACTGGGATGTAACCAAGTCTGGCGCTTCGACTCAGAAGAAATGAAGGAAATATTTTATTCAAATGACGTTTATCAACACAAACAGCCAATGGGCAGCATTGTAGCTTAAAGAGAATTAATCAGAGCTATCCTTTTGAAACGCAGACTACATATTAAACGCCTTCGCTCTGAGTTGCCGTCTCTCATGGGAAGCTGAGGTGATAAGAATAGTTCACCTTGGGAAATCTGAGACAGTCACTCACAAACAAGCCGCATTAATGAAGAGTAAAAGCCATTACCCCCTCACTGCCTCTGATTTCATCACACCGTCCTCACACACACACACACACACACACACACACACACACACACACACACACACACACACACACACACACACACACACACACACACACACACACACACACACACTCCTCCATGCATAATACGAGACACTGGATGTGAATGAGTCGGCAGAGTAGAAAACTGTGTCAGTCATTCAATAAGATGTAACGAATCAAAGCATGACTCCTCTAATCTCCACACTTGTTGGTATTATTTCACACACCCTGATCGCCGCTCTTCATGAAGCACATCCCTGGATGTGTTATTAAATCTCATCACATTCATTCTGTGATCAAAACAGCAGCGATAACGCTTCGTTCCCTGCTTTGTATTCAATAAGCCTCTGTTTCTTTTACTTTAGGTACGAGGGATGGAGCAACATTTGAAACGTGTTGCTGTGAGTCCCGGCCTCAGATTTCCATCTCTGTGTTACAGTGAGGAGGGATGACAGTGAAAACCCATGTACTGTAATTCAATAGCGCAGTCATGTTTTCCTGTATACTCAGAGTGATAAGGAGCTTTAGGTTCAGAGTGAAGATTTCTCTGCTGCCTTTACATTCCTGCAGCGTTTTTCCCTCTGGTATGCATTGCACTGAAACCCAGTGCCTTACGAAAGTACTTATGTCTCCATATTTTGATACATTTTCAACAATAACATCTATTTGTTAGGTTTTTATTTGACAGACACAAAGTACAGTAGAGCATAAAAGTGAAGTAGAAAGATTCACAGTTTTCAAACTTACAAAAAAATTGTTCATTAAATTTTTGCACAAAATCATTTTCAGATAATGAGATTCTAGTCTGCTCATTTCTGCATAAAAATGGCTGCAAGCAGATGTGCATTCAAATGTATGTCTTTGAAAAGCAGAAGTGGAGCCTGCTGCACAACCAACCAGAATGAAACAAGTGGTTTCTGAATGGTCAGTTAGCAAGAAAACGCATGCCTTTTCCAGCAGCCTTTATAAAGCACATGTAGCAGTAAAACCAGCTGACCAAACATGCTGGAGCTCCACATGGGTTGCTAGGCAACAGCGCATTATCTTAAGTTTCTGGAGGTTTTCGAAACGGCTCATTTTTGTCTTAAAAACATTAACTTACTGCCAAAAAATGGCTGTTTTTTTAAGTGCTGTGGTTGTTTTTAGAAGCAGTAGAAAGCTAAATGGAAGTAGAAATATATAGGTAAAGTAGAAAAATGCAAAAAAATAAAAATTTTCATAATAGGGGTCCTTTAAAACATCCTGTTACTTCATATCAAAAGCTCTGTTTTGCTATTTGGGTCAAGGGCGGCGGTGCCATCTCTGTACGGGCCTGTCAGGGGAGGCAGTTATTTAGTTCGAGATGTCCAACCTGTGCTCCAACAGGGCAGCTGTGGCAAAGTTCAGCAGCATATATCTGTCGGGCTCAGCTGATTATTCCGCTTTGTGAGCGCGCTCTGCGGGCCGGAGTGGCACCGGATCCCAGGTCTGTGAAATGCAGATGAGCTGAGCGAATGTTTTTTTATGTGTGTCAGAAGAAAGGAACCAGTATGTGTGTGTGCACATCTACATGAGCGCAGGAGGAAGAATAATAATAAATAAAAATAAATGCGGCTCACATGTGGCATCCCACCGACATGAGCCAGAGCTCAGACTCCCAATTACAGACTGCTGCCTGCCCTCCGCTCGGCCACAAAGGCCTTTGTTATCAGCAGACCCACAAACAGCGGACTGGAATGGATTGCAATGGTGCGCATTGCTCGGCTGATAGCGGCAGAACATTTCAAAAGGAGCAGAGTTTTTCATCCCCTGGTCTGTTTTAATTGCACGGACAGAAGCTGAGGTGTTTCTGGGACGGGTCTGATAAATGTCAGCGCTACGGGACGACGTCTCATTTCTCCGTTTCTCATCGCTGTGAGGAGGCGTGCGAGCCTGACTCATTATCCTTGAAGTTACCTGAAGTGGCGACTCAAGTGCTGAACATAAAGCTGTATAACCTGTGTGTCACCTGCATCTTAAATCATTCGGGTGCTTGGAGGCCTTGAAAATACTTGAATTTCAATTATGTGTTTTCAAGGTCAGTAAGGTCCTTGATTTCTGTACGGACCCGTTGAAGATCCCGCCTCCATTTTCCTGCTGGTGGGCTAAAAGCTGCACGCTAACCATGACTACCATTGGTTTTAGCTGTTAAGCTATCAATATAATCCTCTAAATCTGAAATGTACTGATGTATAAAAGAAAATAAAATTATGCAGTGCTTTGCAACGAGAAAGAATATGACAACTAGATAACAAGGTCAGGAAAAAGCTTTAATTAAGAAATTTGCGAGGGAGAGGGCAGGAGTTCAGCTATGCTAGCTTGACTATGACAACCACAACATGTAGATGTGCTGTGGAATCTGGTGAGTTTTGGTTCAGTTAAAAATTTCAAAAAATGGCAACTTACACTCCAACTCTGACAGATCTTCTGTAGACAGCAGCGATAAATTAGCTTAAATTAGCTAATTAACCACCGCAGTGTTAGCTTAGCTGCAGCTAATCTACCGCAGCGATCACTTTTCAATAATCTTAAAATAAGCATCTCGCCTAGAAATGTAAAAATGTATGTTCTGTTTCTTGTGTGGGAAATTTTTGAGTGTCTTTTTGGGTTGAATCCTGGCACTGAAGTAACGAATCTGTGTGTAGCGTAACCGACAGAGAGCGAGAAAAAAAGTGGTTTTGAGTTGTTTTTTCTGCGTTATTCTTCCCTTTGCTGCACTAAATTAACACTACTTACATTTCCAGGTTTCATTTGATTAACTGAGTGGCAACGCAGAAATGGATGGTATGTAAAAGAATAGAATCGTCTTTCATTTGTTGTTTCTGTTTTAAATGTCTTCCAGTTCCAGTGTTAAATGTTCAATAGAATTTAAAGTTTATTGATCTTTGAGGAAATGTATTTGTGCGTTTTGGTGCCATTAGCATTGCAATTCTTGAAAATTGTCTCAAAACAACAACATTAATGTTTATCACAATAACTTGTGGGAAAATTTATCATCAAGCAAAATTTGCCTAATCTAACATTTGATTAAAACCTTAAATATGGGAAACGTAAAGTACAGCTGAAAGCAGCTGTTTTCAAATACCTAATAAGACTTTTTTTGTTCTCTCTCTCCGAGGTTAAATCAGAGTAATGGGGAGATAATTTTGTTTTATTTCAGTTTAAAAGATTATTACTAACATTAATAAATCATATCATATTATGAACTGAAACAGTTTTTTTTAGTTCATTTGTGTTGATTTTATTTCCAAAGTTTGGGGAGTTTTAAAACTTACCTTGAAAATGCTTGAAAAGTGCTTGAATTTTCTTGAAGGAAAAGAGTCTGAATTGCTTTTGTCACTGCGCTGTAATGTACGGCGCGGCGTGATTTTCCCTCAGAGCCGGCGATAATTAATCACGCTGTATTGAGAGGTCTGGATGCACGATGCAAAACCCCAACGCTTGGCCTCTGCATGCGGTTTATGTGCTTTGATAATTAAAGCGTTATTAATAAGTGCAACTTATCTGTGCAGCAGCGAGTGACCTTGGGAGTGCTGCTTTGTGCAGAGATGTCCGCTGACTGAGGAGGGGGAGAAAATGCTCCTCCAGCCGCTGCGAGGCACAAGTTGCTGCCTTTGAAAGGCTGGATATTCCTCTCAATTAATGGGGAGACATTAAGGGAGTCTTCAATGAACTAGCCTTGCTTAAACAGATATATAGAGCAATTGCTATGCCCTCTGGTGCACAAAGTCAGTTTTAACATCAATTAGTGAGCAATTTATATGCAGAAAGAGTCGAGGCAGAGCGGCCTGATTGAAGTAGCTCACTGTATCTCGTGGTGTGGTCTCTGGCAGAGAGGAAGAAGAGAGGAAGAGGAAGAGCAGATCCTCCACTTACGTAATCGCTCACTGGAATGTGGTCCGGGACGTCCCGGGTGAAACGCTGACCTGTGACCTCAGTGTCGGGCGTGTCTACGTCCTGAGTCTCGGCGTCTGCAGGAGGGAAGGAGATGAGGACGGTGAGTTTCTGCTGTTTGAAAAGGAAATGAGGAAGATTAAAATTTCACCCTGTTCTCCCTGTGGCTTTTTGTAATTAACAAGTGAAATGTGCTCAGATTCAACCTGGGCTCTTTTTTTTCCTTGTTCAGTTAAACAATAATGTTCTTGTTGTACTAACATGAAATTATAATTTGTGAAACATCACGTTTTACAGCATGTTGGAAGGAATCCCAGGAATCCCAGTCTCACCACAACCAAGCAGGCGCGTTGGTTTTACACTGCAAAAACACAAAATCTCACCAAGTATTTTAGGCCTAGATTATCATCCAAATAACTGACTAGAAATACGACAAAACTAACTCATACACAGGAGCTTGTGTTAAAGTAAATGATTCCTTAACACTGATGAAAAGTAATCAGAAATTGGATCTTCTGAATTGATTACAGTTTTGTGACATTATCACTTCATTTCCATTAATATTTCTCATCCAAACAAGGTTTTAGGAGAAATGTTTTCTAACGAGTATATCAGTTAAATATTAAAAGCCTGGATTTCTGTAAATTGAATAATAAACACCGATACATGTAAAGTATCAATGATCTCTCACTAATCACAGATTCTCAGACTTTGCAAGATGTTTATATTTAACAAAATGTTTTCAGTTCAATTTGTTTAGTTTTATCATAAACACATCAAATCCTACTCAGCCTTATTTATCTTGATGACTACAGCTTTCATTTTTACATTTATCTGACAATTGGCCAAAACTAGTTTGTTTTTTCTATTTTCCATAAATATTCTCAGCAAATATACAGAAATATTGTTGTGATGTTCTCGCCAAAACAATGATTTTCTTGTCCTTCATCCACTTTATCTAATTTGGCAGCTTGCTTAGGGTCACGGTCACAATACGTAGAAAGCTTCAACTTCCTGGCTCATATCTTCAGATGTTGATAAAAGATTTCTACAGAATGTTGTTCTTTCCTCTTGATACCATCTGTTGGTGTTTTTCGGCTGGCGAGCTTCTCCCTTTACTCCTCCAAAATGTCACCATGATCATTGTGAACAAACACAACAGGACATTTCTGCATAAATCATCCCAGTTTATAGTTGTTTCTTTTGACTTCTTCCTCTCTTGAGTCGCCTTTCAGTCCAGCGGGACGGGACTTGTCTAATTATTGGAAATGATACTTTCTTACCTGCTTCAACAAGAATCTTCACAAGATCTTTTCGTTCTGAGATTTAAAAACAGATTTTACAAATCTGTTTTTAAAGAGACAGTTTTGGTTCTGTTCATCACAGAACAAATCAATCCCTCAAATCATTTGCATAATTATCTTGTGACACTTGCAGAGCTTCAGAAATATATTTAACCAAATGAGCTAATTGTTCCAGAAACACAAATATTATCAGGATGCACAAAGTCGGTTCAATAAATGGACCTTTTAAGACTTTTTTAAATATTGTGGTATCTAAGATACCAATTTTTTTCAAATCTATTTTTATTTGGCCAAATTTTACACAATTTTAATAAAAAGTTGTTTCACTCTTTCACTGTTCAACAAAACCGCTGGACAAAAAAATTATTTTTAGAGGAATGAAAACATGAAACTCTTTTCCTTTAGCTGTTATAAATGTAACAAATGCTGGAGCTTTTAAAAGAGCCTGCGTAATTATTTTATTACAGAGTTATAACAGTGAAAATATGCTATGTGTCTAATAAAATGTAACTATTTCATTATATAAAGTGTTATATGTTATGTTTCTAATATTATGTTGAGTGTGTGTAACTATTTTTATAATAAATGTTTTATTTTTCATAATGTGGACCCTGGGAAACATAATCTTACTTTCCATGTTTTCCCAGTGTTCAACAGGGAAGCAGTGTGTTTGAGGTGTTGCTTTAAAATTCCTGCACAGATGTGCCTCCATTTGACTCAAATTTCAAATTCAGTGGTGTTTTTTCCTCTGATTTCTCCCTCCATCGCAGCCCTTCAGCCTCTAAACTCTCCTGACACACAAAGAGCAGCTTGAACAAGCTGCTCATGCAGTTGGTAAATCGTGCCGCCTCCACGGACCTCCACATGGCCTGTGGGGAAGCCCTGCAGCTACAGTCTTAATAGTCTGCATTTAGAGGCAGATATGCCCCCTGCTCTCACCAGTCATGGGGGAGGGATGGATCCAGTGGATGGGCATCTGCTGGCAAATCTCCCAGATCTTGGAGTCAAGCAGGAAGTCCGGGTTAACGACGGGCTCCTCGGCAGGAACCCACACTCTGGAGTCCTCCACCTGCACATCCACGGCCTCGGCCTCGTCAACCTGCCGGACGACACCGCACACAACACTCGCGGCTGCACGTCTGTTACACAAACACATTAAAAAGCATGTCGGCTCCTGCTAAAAACACCTCGCTGTCCTGCATTTGCACTCTTCTCCCTGGAGCTGTTCCAGCCTTGTAGCTCCATCTATCACCTTTGTGTCTTCAGAGAGGAGAGCAACCTCCTGACTCCTGACACCCACTGCCCTCCCCTGCTCTCGCCCGCCTCTCAAGCTCCTGGCATGCTTCTTTCTAATATACATCATTGAAATTCACAGAAGCTGATGATTTGACTTTTAAATGACTTTAGAAGTGGTCTTCATTACTCTGAGAGTGGTAGCAATGTCGCGTAATGTGACAGACACAATAAAGTCGTGCATTCTCCCTCCACCCTCCAGACTTTACTTTGCACCCAACGCCATCAGACGGCTTAATTTGTTGGTACTGTAGTTCATGAGCTGTAAAGTAAACTATTATTGCTTAATGATAGGGACTGCATGTCAGTGTTGTCTAATAAAGACATATGACGGGGATTTGTTAATGCTCTCCCCTAACAGTGCAGATATTTATTTTCTTCATGTACATGTAAATACACACGCAAACAAACCCTCTCTTCCCGTTCCCTTGTTAATTAGCCGCCCAGGACAGAGAAACAGTTCACTTGACAAATGTTTTTACAAGGTGATTTTCTTCCAGTCTGCAGCTTAATTGCACATTAGTTAAGCTTGATGGTGTAGAATCCTGGGGCAATAGCAGGAGTGGGAATCATTTATACTGGGTCCTGCCCCCCTCCCTCATCTAGATGCTGTCACTCTCACTTGAGTTACAATTTCACTCCATTTGCTGCTTTTTGTTTATCAGTAGTAGCAACTGCCCCCAGAAAGCTCAGTTTAGAGGAGGCGCATTTCACAAGATGCACATTTTGCCTGTTTTTGTATTTCCATGTGGGTTTCTATTGCTTCTAAAAACAGAACAAAAACAAAGTCTTTTAGTGTCTAGAAAAAGAGCTGTTTTCAAAAACCTTCTGAATGTAACGTCACCAATCAGCACAGATTGCCCAGCCCGTTACCTAGCAACCCCAGGGAATTCCAGCCCGTTACCTAGCAACCCCAGGGAATTCCAGCCCGTTACCTAGCAACCCCATGGAATTCCAGCCCGTTACCTAGCAACCCCAGCTGAGTGCTAGTTCTGAGTTCAAGTGTTTCGATTCGTGCCACCAGCTAATTTGAGCATTTGCTAGAAGAAATACTTGGAGGGAGGGTATTTGTTTCTATTCCTATGTCATTGTAGTTGTAAAAGTAGTGAATGATTGCAGGAGAATAAAAACAAATAAGGATAAAAATGGTTAAAACACATTTTGCTGGACTGCTACTGAAAAAAAAAATCAGGTATTTGTATGTGCCTGTGAACAATAATCAAAAGTAATAAATTGTAGACATTATATAGTCTACAATCTGCTAACACCTTCAGTTAATGTCATAAAAGATGCGATTATTATAAAAATAAAGTCTTGTTTTGTCCATGATGAGTCCACTAGAGGGCGTACTGACAGTAGTTTACCGTTCCAATGGGTCCAATACACAATCCTCGACAGAATTATAATTTATGGATTAAATTATGGCAACTATTATCTTGAAACAAGTATTTGAATTAACATAAATAAATATGCTACACTTTATTGAGATACATTTTAAAAATAACCCAGAAGTATTTCTTCGGTGCATGAGCCAACGGTACGATTCGTCATTCAGTGACCAGTTGGGTGACGTCTCATTTGGATTTAAAGAAACAGGAGGCCATAAAATAACTCATTTTTAAATGAGCTCAAAACAGGCAGAACTGATCTCAGAAGGTTTTTGAGCAGGTTTTGTATAGGCCATTGACCCATCTCAACCTGTTAAGGGAAGCATTATAAGTCACCTTTAAGCCAATTCTGCTAGGTCAGAGGTCATGTTGGATGCAGGAGGTATTCACCCTTTTTTTTTTACACTCTCCTTCACTTTTAATCACCAAGCAGAACAGTAATGATAACTGGGACGACTGGAGTGTGCCGCATGGTGATGGTGGTACGACAACAGAGGTGGTGCTCCGGCGCTGTGCAGCAGAAATTAAAATCAAACACAAACAGCACTCTCTAATTGGACCTCTTAACCACTGGAGCCAAGTGAGACTTCACTGGGAAGTAAATGGAGGTCAGGACACGGGGCTCACAACAAGACTTTGACTTCACAGTTGAGAAACGACTCCAATAACTTGCAGTAGGAGAGAGAGAGAGAGAGAAGAGAGAGAGAGAGAGAGAGAGAGAGAGAGAGAGAGAGAGAGAGAGAGAGAGAGAGAGAGAGCACCCAGGGGGAAGTGGGAAAGGTCAGTATTTTAGCATGGGGCATGGATTTCTAAATGCCAGTTGACAAGCACAAAGACAACATGATTACACACTGCCAGTTTGTACACACTTCTGAAAGGCTTTTCCATTTTCTATTGACAAATGATATATTATTAAGACACAAGCAACTTTTTATCATGTATTGGACCTTGGAAATGATGGCAATTTGTTTTCCAGCAGCCTGCTCCTGGAGCATGTATGGCTTTCGCCTACAGTGCACAACTTAATTATATACCAGTTGTGCTGTAGTTAACAAATTTACCCTCTCCTGCCACCGTGTCCCAAGGGGGGAAAAGCCTGTCGACATGACACATTGTTTAAGCGCCACTGTTTGCCAGAGATCAACAAAGATTTTCTCATCGTACCCAAGAGCTTTCACATGCCAAAGCCACGGAGGTTTTTTATCTGGTTAACTAGTGACTGACAAGTTCTGCTAAGAAAGTAAAACATCTGATTCACACACTGTAAAACGTTTGAGCCGCATTTAGTTGCGTTTACTGTCTTCTGCTTGCAAAGTCGAATAAATTTACGTTACATTGATCTGACTCTTGTGGTTATTTCAATGTCCTGTTCACACAAAATGTTTTTGAGTGGAATTCATTGTGATGTTTAACAAAATTTATTAAAATTTGAAATTTTATTATTCTAAATAATTATTTTAATGTGATATTGTGAGTAAAATAATAGATAGAAGTTTTTTTTCCTTGCATATTGTGCAATAGTTATATGGTTTACATTGCAGCATTAAGTTAAAACCCACAATTCAATATTAATGAACTTAAAAACAATGTTTAGACAATTTGTCTCCTGTTGTCAAATCGACTTCATGAACTTTAATTTCTGAGTTAAAACCAAAACAATTTTCTTGTTGACTTAAATTGTGTTTTCCAGGCAGCAACTGGGCTTTCATTTTCAAGTTAAAACACCTTCAAATGTTTTACAGTGCAAAGCAAATAGCAACAATATAATACTAAACATGTCCAACAGGGGGCAGCAGCTTATTAGCTATTTGCATTGTTTTTTGTCCAATTGCACTTCTCTTTTATTTTAGTTATTTGACACATATTTGTTAACATCTGGATGAAACACATGTTTCACAATTTGTTTCCATTAAAAACATGCACAATTTTTTGTTGATATCCTGCTGGAAAACACAATTGTGTTTCCATTAAATAAGGAATAAAATTAAAATCCCACCTAAATAAACTTGGTGATTAAGGCAATAAGTATGTCTTATTGCATACTTGATGCAATAAGGCATCAAGTATCACAGCAGCGATGGACGTAAACTGTTAGATAAAATATATTCATAATTCAGCCGATCAGAGCTGCGGTCTCTATTAAGCAAAATTATTTTTGTAATTTCAATTTGTGAGATTTGATGGTCAATGAAAACACAGCCAATGTTACACAAGAATAAAAATTGGTTTCAGAATATAAAACAAGGTTTTTAAATTATGTTTTAATAACAAGAAACTGGATTTAATACCAACCAAAAAGTTTTAAAGTGACTGAATATAAATGTTGGTTAAAAGAAATTTAAATTACATTAAATTACACCTTTTCACTTTGAATAGCACATTTCATCAAAATGGAAAACTAAAAAAAAAACCCCAGTCAGTGTCGGAGAAAAGCCTGGATAAATTGGTTCTAAGAGAAAAAAATATTTTGGCTCAGGTGAAGCCCACCTTAAGCCTGCCTCTCTTTTTCTGACCACTTTACCTTTTTAGCCTGTTTCTTTGAGCTGCAGCTTTAGAAACAGCCTGCAGTAGTTTTAAATGTACCGTGTTCAGTGTGGGACAAATTACGCTGGTTTTTGAAAATCAGGTATTTTATCTAGTGGTTGTAATCTAGAGAAAAAAGCCATAAGTCTGTGAGACTTTTTTTTCTAACCTCATGCAGCAAACCTTGTTTAAATGAGACTGATGCAGAGAGAAGCCATATGCTTGGCAGCAGAGCATAAGGTACCAGGTTGTGTTTTGAGGGCTTTGTAATTCACATCGACAAAATCTCTTCTGTTATTGTTTAAGGGACAAAAGCTACAGGATCTTTTGAGTGCAGAGATCCCAAAACGGCAGATCATGATCTCAATGTGATTAGTAATAACGGCTAATCTCCACAGATTTACTAGATTTCATAATAATTCAGCAGGAGCCGGTGGGTTCAGTGGAGAAGAAGAGATGTGGAAAACCAGAGTGGGTTAAAGAAGAAACACCGCCTGGTTGCCTCCAAGCAGAAGACCCCAGAGGTGACAGGAATGTTTTTTTTAGGCTGGTCAGACCCACAGGTGCTCTTTTCTTCTTTAGAGAGTTAAAAACCTTTGCTTCATATTTTCAGATTGCAAAGAGGATTCAATTTTGCATTGGATTGTGTTGATATTAAACACAAATTACACAATAATTACATTTCTGCAGACATAAAAAGTAGACTTTATACTTTCTATGCTGAAGTCATTTACCATAAAAATACTAGTAAGTACTTTATTGATGACTATTATAAAAGTGATGTATGTCATTTTTATTAAAAAAATATTTTTTTTTTTACATATTTGTTAAAACTGTTGCTATGCTGTGACAGATAATCTGTGAAGAAAATCTCCTCTGCAACTAGTGCAACTAGACAACCAATCAGAGCCAGGAGGAGGGCCTTAGTGCTGTCAATCACAGTCTTGTGTGGCGCTGCTCATTCTCCCTCTCCATTTTCCCCTTGGTCTTTGTAACGCTGCAGCTCGCATAGGCTATTTTGAATGCTAGGATAGTTAGCATGGCATAATGGCAGCTAAACAGTTTTCCTGTAACGGTAAATTGTTTCATCCACATTAGCGTATTTAACAGCAAGTACATGAGATTGACTGACAGCGGTAAAACCCGCCTTCTGGCTCTGATTGGTTGTTTTCGCCACATTTCTTTAAACGGCCGTAGCAGCTCAGAGACAAGGTAGAGATCAATCTTTTTACAAATTATCTATATTATGACAAACTGCCACAACATGGTGACAATTGTAACAAATACGTAAAAAAGTAATTACAAGAACCTCGGCTGACCAAAGTACTTCATAATAATCACAACATCACAGGCTGATAAATGATAAAACAAAAAATAAATAAAAATTAAGTTTGCTAATAATAATAATAATAATAATAATAATAAATACAATTCTAAAATTGGCAGAAAACACAAAAAAACCCCAAAAAACACTTAATTTCAGCTGAAATTCCCAAAGCCTCTAATCAATCAAGTACAAATAACTCCCTGAACCCTTTAAAAAAGTTAAGGCTAATGAGCCAATTTTCCGTCATTCTTTTCTCAAAATTGTAAAATACAGTAAATATTACTTTTTGTAAGTTGGTGTGACTTTAATAAAATCTTGACACTGACAGTATTTCAACTTCTCAAAACGAATTTAAAACACAATCGTTGCAAATAACAGTTATGTTTTTAAAGAGTGTCAACCAAATGAAGATTGAAACCAAATCTCGATTTAATTTTGCTGTTCAGCTTTACGTTTTCTGTGATTTTGCAGCACAAATGTCAGATTTCCCCCCGAATGTTTCGGTCCATTCACCGACTTTCTGTAGAATATTCTGAAACCATTCACACAGTGCACCGCAGGACTTTGATGTATTTACATCCTCTGCAGTGTTTTTGTTTCTTTGCGCACCGTTTTGTTGTCTTGAGTGGGCGGTTTGGGGTCGGTGGGTGAACGCTGGCCATCCATATTAAGAAGCTGCTTAATGGACCAAACATCATCTACTGACAATGTTAAAGACTGTGAGGGAGGGAGCTGCTGATTTCTGACTCACACTGCAGGGAACTGGGATGAAGCTCAGGGATTACTCCCTCAGACATTTCATTGAGAAGGAAAATTGAAAAGTGGAGAAAAAAACCTGGCGAACAATTCGTATTTGTCACCTGGTTCCCCCACCACATGGGCTGCATTTCCTTATCAGCGACTTGCAGTTTTCTTACAGTTTTCTCTTTTGTTTTTCCCATCAGCTCCTAAGCCTGCTGCTGTTCCTCTGAGCCCCTTTTTTTCTTGAAAGCCTGTGTTGAGTTTAAGCTGGGAACCATTACTGCTTAGGTTTAACCCCTGTGTGCTTCAGCACTTGAGGAGGAACTTGTCGTGTTGATCCTTTACAGGGTCACATATGGGTGGATGCTCATGGAGGACAGATTAGAGGGGGGCGCACTGAGTGTGAGGACAGATTTGGGTCACCGTTTATTACCTGAACATGTTCTACCCCCAATATTGAGAAGGAAAATATTAAGTTTAATGATTCTGCTTGTAGGTTCCCGTAACGTGTGACGTATTGAGCACGCTCCCTATTTATATCCAAGATGGCGTTGCGTTATATTTCACAGAAACAGACGAAGCTGGGGCCACTTGCACCATGTTCAGGAGTCCAATCATAATAAAAAGAGTAAACAGTTGAACGACTGTAGCGTTTGACTCTTTGCTTAGCCCATCCTACATGCATAATCTCCATCTCACATTAACATTTATAGCATTTATATTTTCAGTAAATTAAAATATATTTTCCGACAAGTGTACGATATTAAAAGCATAAAAGCTTTCGAGGTGCAAAATGTTCGTTTGACGGAGGGATTTTTATTGTTTAAGTTTTAATTTTGTTTAAATGGAACACAACAACATGGTGCACATTTTGGACTTCAGATTTTATTTCCTAATTCAATGAGAATCAATAAGGAGCCGAATCGATAAGTCAGACTAGCAATGGGATCGGTATTGATGACTTCTTATCAATTGGCATAAACCATGAAGAGGATGACAGGAAGTAGTTGGCAAGTATTTTGAACCATATTTTGAATTTAATTTTAATTTAACCAAAATTGCGAAATTGTGATTTTACGACAACCCTGTGCGTCACATCAAACTTCATCGCATTTCTCTGTTTGGCTTTCAGTCAAAACCCACAAAAAAATCCCCAAACAGGTGTGCATGTTCCCACAGAGTGGTGTCAAGTAGTTTCTCAAAGGCACCGCAGCACATCTGGTAGAATAACAAGCATTTTGCAGACGGGGCGCGATAAACGCTGGAAAGACACTGAAATGTCTCTTGTGGAATCGGTGAAGGAGGATCAGGACAGCAATTAGATGCTTCAGAAACTGAAAACAACTGGGAGATGTGACACTGTTTTTATTGAACCTTCATGATTGTCATTTGATACAAATCTCTTTTGTGCATCAGGTTTTTATAATTCTGATGTTACAGTCCTCAAAATGTAATGGGCGTTGAACTCTTCTTCTGCAAAAATGCCAAATATTTAATTAAAAAGAAGGTAGTTTGGATAACCCTGTATTTGAAGGTCATGACATAAACATGAAGGAGACTTTGTAAATGTGTATAAATGTTGTCATAAAGTGTCATTTGGTAAATAATGACACTTTTAATGCAAAGTGGCCTTTTTTATTTCAAATTTTAAAGCAGTTTTGCTTCAAAAGTGAGTAGAATAATACAAAGTTAACTCTTTTAATGCACTTAATTCAACATTTAATACAACTTTGCATTAAAGATGTCATTATAGAAAAATACAAAGTCGACTCCTTTCATGCACTTTTTACTCAACTTTTAATGCAACTTTGCTTTAAAAATGTGATTATTTACCAAATGACACTTCATGAAGGAAGACTCCTTCATGTTTATGACAGTAGTTATGTCAGTCTTAAGCAACACCCCTTCAAATAAAGTGTCATCGTTGTTTGTGGTTAAGATTGTTCCTGAAATATAGATAAATTTGTAATAAAAAAATCAAATTTGTAAAAGTTAAGGCAACCTTTGATAGTCAGGAATCCCACTTGACTCTTTGCTTCCTAAAGGCAAAGTTGCACCAGTGAGAGCAAATTGCAGTGAAACGTGGCTTAAATGGCCCTTTGAACCATTATTTTTATTAAACATAAGCGTGTCTGTCAATACTGGGATGAGCCCAAGTCACTTTGCTGTCCTTTCATGCTTCACTCTGGAGCTACGAATTGAGCCAATTAGGCTTTCCGGTACACAAAAGAAGACGGAGATGGCACGGACATATGGTGCTGCCTGGGCAATTAGTATCTGTAAACGCAGATCAGACAATATGAAGATGAGAGGAACAAAAAAAATGCTTTTTGGTGTAACAGCTTGTGTTACTAAAGTTTAAAAACTAAAGCTGGACTGACAATTGGCTTTTTTTAGAAAGATAAAGCGATGAGTGGGGAGCGATATTTGCCAGCCACTTCTTCTTAGCTTAAATCTGAAATGTAAATGAGAGCATGCTTGGAGTTGAGACGTTTGAGGAAAGGATTTTCTCTTTCAACGCGCGGCCCACTCGCCGAATTTTACTGTGACACTGAAAAATGGGAATTTTGATTGACTGAATTTTTTCCCACTCCTTGTTCTGAAGTTCACATTCGACTTTAAGAAGCCTGATAACTAAAATGAATCACCCTAAACTTGGAGAAGGGGAGTCTTCTGAATTTTACAAAGAAAGGCATTGCTTAAAAATACAATTTTAATGGTTTACCTCTCGCTCAGACCTCTGCAGCAACCCTTCCCCCTTTAGGCTATTTGGGTAGAGTCTTTGGAGGAGATGATTAAAAATTAATGGTGGCTCAAGATTGACAGCAAGCACCATTTGATGTGAGCCACAAAGAGGCAGAGGGTTTGTGGTTAGCTTTCTGGCAGTTTCACAGGCACCACAAACCCCAGCTTATTCCTCAGTGAGGGTAGGGGAGATAGGATGAGATGGACAGACTGAGGATTTGAGTGCTGGTTATCTTCTGACAATATGCATGGCCGCCTCCTGCAGGTCGGCATATAGGAAGAGCATGAAGGTGTACTGTACCGTCCTTTCCCCGCCGTCAGCCTCCGCCTCGTCCACTGTGGGTAGTTTCTTCGTTTGGGTCCTGATGTAGCACCTCTGATGTTCAGCAAACCGTATCCCAGTGATCCCCTTTTTGAAAAGGAAAGAGAAATGAAGAGGCACTCAGAAATTCAGATGTATGTATCATTCATCGTGCCGTCTGTGATGTGGATGTGCCGTAAGAAGTGCGGCGTTCATTTTAAAACACTGCTTTTTACTGATAGCCAAAGTTGTTAAAGTTAAACCTAATGAATGAGAAGAGGTGTGTTTTGAACTCCTTCTGCTTATATAAAATTGATGACTGCTTGGACCTTCACAACTCTCCGCTCGCTTCAAAGCTGGATGAAGCAAAAGGAAAAAGGCAGGGGACGTTCCACCGGGGCTGCATGGCGGGATGCATCACGCCGGAGAGCCGAGTGACATTGTTGAGAATGAAGTGTTTTCTACAGAGAGCGCTCCCATTGAATTAGCCAGTCATAGGACCCTGTCACTCTCTTAATCTGCTCACTGGAGTGTGGAGATGCTCTCTTCAGCTCCAATGATGATCCTCCACCGCGTGGACGGCGGCGCCATTCAGTCTGACACACAGGGCCTCAAAAGGCAGAGAAGATCTGTTGATTTTTCCCCTCATAGCTATTCTGTGTTAATCTAAGATATTCAGCCAGAATAAGGCTGAAAGACTTTCTGGAGCTCATTTTAATTTTCCTCTTCTTCTTTTTTGCACAGCTTCCTGTATTAGAATAGACGGCTCGATCTACATCTGAGACCGCCGCTTTAAACTTGTATGAAGTGAAATTTGCATGAACCAGAGCACAATAATGGACGTGGTTCAACCTAAATTTAATTACAGTAACACATAAGGCTGTTACAACGTCTCTTATTAATCTGTTAACGTAACCATGTGGTTATAATTTCACTTTTTTGTAAATTTTTGCAGTACCATCACTCTGGAAACTAGATAGAAGAGACGCAGAACAAAGTGATGGCTGCCATAATCTAATACAAGTGATTTTTATCTCTGAAAAGAGCAATAATGGTCTGGAGCAGGAGAGCATGATGTTTATGCCAGGCTTTATTGTGATGAGTCTTTGTTTAATTTGGGCCGGCTGTGTTGGTGAGAAGAAGGAAAGAGGGCAACGCCACGATGAGATCCAATGATTACCGGGCCTGGTCAAGCAGAAAATGAAGAAAGACACATTAACACAGGGAATGGGAATGGAAAAGTGATTTCATTTTAATAGACGCTGCTGAAATATTTGTATGTGCATGCTCCAAGTCTCTGATAACATGTTGCTGCCTGTCAAGACATCCGGCTCCGTCGCAGCTAAAGTTGTGAGAGTTTTCTGGAAACATATTCAAACTGTAAAAACTCAAAACTACATTGATAAAAAATGCAGAACTCTAAAGTCCAACCTTTATCTTGAGTAAATTTATTAAGGACTGTTAAGAAATTACTGGTCTTAGACAATTATTGGGTTTCCTAGAAATAATTTTTTTCATTGATACTTTATTTTTTCCAATTTGAGAAAACTTTAATTAGTAATATCTTGCTTTTTCTTTCCTTGGGATATCAACATAACTAAATGCAAAGTTCAGTTTTCTTCAGCCTCTGGCCATTTGGCTGGACAAGCAGCCATTTTGTTTCTTTTGTTCCTCACACACATCATGAAGAATTTGCAGGAGTCTTTGTTGTGATGGAGTTACAATCTCCAAAACAAAATTTAGACGCCATGTTCTAACCTTTCTTTTAAAAAAAAGCCTTTATTGGTTCATGTCAGTCTGTATTAATTAACATTTAATACATCAAAAATGCATTATAAAGAGGGAAAATATACACATTAGTGACATCTGACTTTAAGTCATAAAACTCAGAAAAAAGTTAAACTTATAGTCTGTAAGATATGATATTTTTGACATGGGAATTCCAAAAAGTAAATCTATTCAGATAAAGGTTGAATTTTTCATTTTGAGAACTGAAAATAAAGACAGTAATGTAAATATTCATTCTTTAACGTTATACTTTTAATATCAGAGCAAGACTTAGAGAAACTCCTGTTAGTTTACAAATCTAGAACAAAATTAAAAAGTACCATCTTCTTAACAGCCCAGAACAATAATCGAACATGGAGAACCAACATTTAGTTTTATACCTCACTAATCTTAAACTAGTTTTATCAGAACAAGAATCCAGAGAAACTAGTTTATAAATTCAACTTATTCTTATTACACACAGGGAACCAATATGTAGTTTTATACTTTTACCTTTTTGTTTGTATTTCCTTCTAAACAATGTAAAGCTCATTGAAATGCCTTGTTGCTGAAAATGTGCAACATAAATAAAATTACCTTACCTTGATATTGATAAAAGTACCACATTATTTCACTTACAACAAACATTTTTCTCATAAGTGAAACAATCTGCCAGTAGAACTCACACTTTTTTAATGTTAAATTATTTATTTGTTGAAAGTTACTTATAATTTAATTTAGTCTTACTCCAAGTGAACTAAGACATTTGCACCAGAAACCAGGCCAAATTACCTGATAAGATTGTGCGTTTGCAGTGATATTTTACATCTGAAGTGAAGCATCAAACATAATGCAACACATTTTCCAGGTTGGCTTTGCTTTTGTTGCTGCATCTGGACCTTCTCCCACTGTTCGGGGGTTGCACTCAATCATGTACATCCAGGGAGGATGTTGAGTTTCTGTAGGCTATCCTCCTCACTCATCATCATCATCATCATCATCATCATCATCATCAGTAGAGTTCCTGGCAGTCATGAATTTATTTTAAAAAATGCTCCAAAGAAATTTCAGATGGATGAACGCCTGAGGCAAGTTTTGATGGTTCCGTTTCATTTGCAGCAAGAAGAGGAGGCAGCAGAGCACATGGCAGAAGAAAAGAGGTTAGATTTCTTTTAAATTCCCCTTTGACCAATATATTCTCACCGCTAACAGCTATCTGAGAGAAGATAAATGCATAAAGCCTGCATAACCACCTTTGAGAAGCAGCTTCTCCTGCACCATTTGCAGACAATGAGAGCTTTAATTTTCTGTGTTTTACAGATAAATTAAAGCTTAACCCCCCGAAAAAGAAAACAAACTAAGTCAATTGCCATTTTTATTTATTTTTTTTATTAAGAATGTCTGAGCTCACCCGCTATTTCCCGAAACATCTGTGTTGATTTATTGCAGGTGGCTACCTCATACTTCAGGCTAGATGCCATTTGAAGGTAGGAAGCCAAAACTGATTACTGACAGCTTCTGGACCACGAAAGGAGCCAAATATCCCCGTATCTTTGCAGAGAGGTGGCAGCACTCATGTCTGAGGGTTATGTCTGATCAAAACCTGGCAGGTGGTAAATGAAAGAAAAACACTGTTCACTCTTGTTAAACATGTTCTGCTGTAGTATAAAATTTGAAGAAAGAATCTCTGCTTTCCTTTCACACATGGATATTTGTCCAAATGTAACTACTAATTCACATAATTATCTTCAAATATTGCATTTGCAAAGTAAAATATCTTCCGACTGTGTTTCAGCTGTTGTGTAGGTTTTAAAGCTTTGGCTTCAGACCTGATCTAATGAATATTTCAGGCCGGCGTGGTCAGTGTAACAGCATGAACACATTTTTAGCAGCCAGTCGGTTTTCAAAACTGGTCTTATCTATGAAGTTTATTTGGTATTCTTCTTCAATCGCTCTTCAATACCTCTTTGGTGTAGTTTGGTACAATATTTTATAGTCTGTGTATTCAGGAGAACATTTCCCGCATACCAATGCGATGACAAACTTAACACACTGGTAGGCCTTGTGTTTGTCTCAAGCAGTAATGTTTTACTGTCACCCCGCTAATGCCGCTGTTTGACGCCATTAGCTCCGCCCTCACTCTGCAGTACCATTGTGATATGGATCCTTTCCAACGCATGTAAGATTCTGCTACAAAACTGCTTGCTAACAATGACTAGCATTGGTTTTAGCTGTGAAGTTATCAATATAACTGGATAAATCTTAAAAATATGCCTGATACGTTGAAGAAAAACACATAGTTCATCAACACTACAACTAGATGATAAAGTCAGGAAAAAGTTTTAATTAAGAAGAAAAATAGCGAGGGAGGGGGAAGTAGTTTAGTTACGCTAGCTTGACTTTGACAATTGGGACGTGTAGATGTGCTGTGGAATCCGATTTGATTCGGATCAGTTAAAAAGTATTAAAAAGAGACCTAAACAATCTGACAGATAAGTGGAGCATCTGTTTAAATGAACTAGTCAACCACCGCTGGTTGGCTTAGCTAATAGCAGCAGTAGCAAATATACCACAGTGATCATTTATTAATAATCACAAAATAAACATCAAGCCCAAAACCATAAATCTGTAATGGACTGCATGTTCAGTTCTTTGTGTGGGTAATGTTTGAGTGTCTTTTGGTGTTGAATCCTAAAACATACGGTCTCGTTGTTGCTATGTTCAGTTGTATAGGCCTCTTTTACAATGGAACCAACATGACGAACCGAGCCACACCGACCCGGACCATAGTGGTAACTGGGCCAAGAGGCTTATTGTTTGGGAGTTACTTGGGTTCAGTAAAACTATCTGCAGCTAAACTGGAAAATCTTTTTACATTTTAAACACTTATGGGTTCCACTTTTTGCAGAAATTGTCTTGGTACTCGTGCGGCCACAGGTACAAAATTTTGCTGTTTTTGTCAAGTTTTGACAAAAATATCAAAATGTGCCCAGAAACATAAAAATTGAACGCTAAATAACTTTTTAAGTGTGTCAGCAAAAAAATATTGATTTGGGGATTATTTACAGAGTAAAACTTTGTTAAAGAATCTGTTAGGTGACATCAAACTACAACTTTGGGGAACTTGTTGTGTTTTTGGAACACTTTCTTCATTCCTTTGTTTCCTACTTTGTTTGATAAATGATTAATCTTAGGTGCTTTGCTTTTTTCTACACCAAACAAAATATTCCCTGTGATCTTTATGCCTGGAGGAAGAAAAGGACATGGTAAGCACTTCAACATGCAGGGGACAAACTGAGGCTAACTGTCTGTCAAACATATTCTCTTTGTTGCAAGTTTGAATTTGAAAACCTCTCCTATGGTTTTGCTTTCTATTTCATTGTCAAATTTCACAACAGAAATACCAAAACATCTTTTAAATCATCCAGCAGGTCTCTGATTTTCCTCTCTGGCAGTCCAACAAGATATTTTGATTTATTGGTCTACCACTTTAAAACTATTATTCATGCTGACTTCCACTGCTTAATTACATTACAAACTGAGGAAATGACCCCTGAAAACACTTTGCTGTCCTCTGACGGGCTTCTCCTGCTTTGTAAGCTTAGATGACTTTAATTTTCATAATGCCAGGGTGCTGCTTTAAGCTGCTGATTGCTGTGATGAGGTTTAAGGAATCAGATATTAATGAAGCTTTAAATTGTCGTCAGCTAACAAAGGCTAAATAACTGACACACCTAACAAACTAATCAAGATCTGATTTAAAAGTTATTTGGGAGGTTAAAGGTGTATGAAGTTTTGCAGCTACCTGGATCTTTGTTAATGAATCTACATTTTTAACTTTATATCTATTAGGAAATATTTTGTTCTCTACTCAGTAGTTCCAGATGTTTAAGGCAGCAGTGCTCAAATAAAAAAGTTTAGATTTAAAGTCATTATGTGAGGGGAAAACATTACAGCTTCAACAAAAAAGGAGTTTTCTACATGACAAGGTCAAACTGGGATCACCGGAAAAGGTTAAAGGAGAAATGTTCAGTGAAAATAAAGCTAATGCAGACGTGTGGAGTGATATAAAGTATTCGATACACACAATAGAGTTTGTTTGAGGGCAGGAAGTCTCTTCACTCAAAAAAAGATACCAAATACAACAATTTTGAGTCTTGTTAATAAACTTAAAGTGTCTTTTTTTTTATACCTTTTTTATCTTCTGCTGTAATTCTGCAGAGGAAGAGGAAGCTTGATGGAGGTAACAAATTTATATGCAATATGCTAAATGTACGGGCCTCGTTTTCCTGGACACTTTTCACGTTCAGTCCAGAACATCTGGGGGATTGTCATTGGTTGACAACAATGTTTAGGTTTTCATTAAAGGGACGCATTATGTGTTTTCCAGGCACATAGTGTCATTTTATTACACAATCAAGTATCTCCAGTTATAAAAAATGCTATATATGTCAAATATGACTTTAAAAAAATGTTGTTTCCTGATTTAACCCCTTAATGCCTTGAAATTGGGCCTCTCTCTCTTTCTGAAACTCTACCTTCAGGAAGTCACCACAACATGGCTCCTCTATTAACCCTTTATTAACCCTTCACACTGAGAAGTAGCTCCTATAATGAGCTCAGCAGACGTGCACAGAGGTGTTCGCTAATTGATGCTGGCTAGTCTGAAGGAGCTGAGTAGAGCTGTTTTGTAAGGCAGAAGCTCGGAAGCTTGGCAACTGAAACTCTGAAGAGGAGCTTGGTACTCAGAGGCGGAGCCAGGTTCACCTGGTTGTCATGGAGACTAAAGGATTTGTCAAGCATGCATGAAAGAATCCAGGCAACACGGCAGGTGGGTTTTTGAAGAGGGAATAACATTATAGGATGAAGTAAAACTCAAACAAAGTTGATTTTAAATAATTACATAATGCCCCTTTAATAATAAAAAAAATACAGGATGGAGTGAAATGAGAAAATTGGCACAACAGCTCAAGAAAGGAAAGTTCATGCTACTGGTTTGGCAGTACTTACTTCAATAATTATTAATGTTGACTGATCTATTATTTCAGCTGCTGCGCTCCTATTCCTAACCCTGTTTCATTTCTTATTTATGTTGTTTTTTCTTGGCTATAATTTGTACATTTCCAGGCCTATAAACTCTTTCCTTCTCTTTGTCCACCCTCCCTGCTGCAACTAAGTCACACAATAAAAAGCAACAACATGATGTTAGAGAGGTCAGTCTCAAAGCATTATCCTAACATTAGGTGGTTTTGATACAGATGATACAGATGAACCATTTTACAGATTTAAAAAAATTCATATTGATTGCAGCAATACATTCTCTCAGGTTGTCTTCTTTCCCCAGCTAGGGCAAATATAATGCTCTTCAGCCCCAAGGGGAATAATAGTTTCATTTTCCACTTTCTCAACAGCTCCCAGGTTTGATTGAGTTCATGTTAGAAGGTGCTTCATAACAACCAAGGATATTCACCTTTTCTTATCCTAAAAAATCAATTCTAACATAATTGCTCAAGCACAAACTACCTGCAAACTATTGTGAGCTTTGTTAGTTCCTCTCCTCCAATGAGGCCTGAATCATTGTGTTCAGTCAGTTGTTGCTTTTATTCTTTAATGTCGGAGCGCCGGATCAAACAAACCTCCTCAGGGACATGCTTCACCCGCAGGAAGCGGGACAACAGCGAGCAGATGTGTTTATGCACGTTTCCGATTTATTCACACAGACATACATTCAGTTTCTTATTGGTGTGGAAGAATGAGACTTCAGAGGTTAATGCCGTCTTTCGCTGTGCTGGTTTCCATCATTGATTCATTTTCCACTCACAAAGACCATTGTAACAAAAACAATACCCGCTCAGTGTGGGGTTTTTGTTCGGGATGAAGTGCAACCTGTAACTTTCAGCCTTGCAACCCCAACATTTCACAGTAAATAATGGAGTGAGAGTAAGAGCATTCATTACCCAGTCAGGCTGTGCACTCCTTTCTCCCAGATGCAGAAGGTGTAACATCCTGCACACTCGAGCAGGATTTGGGAATGAAAGGTAAGTTAATGAGTTTTACTGCAGACAAAATAGCAGCTCCAGAAAGTGAGGAACACATAAAGGAAGGCTACTTAATGGTGTTTGTTTTTGCACTGTAAAGAAGTTGCTGTATAGAATTAGTGTGAAGAAAGCACTTCTTGTTTCTTTCTTTCTTTTTTTTTTTAGCAAGACTGATCTTTTTTCTGTGTTGCTGAATGCTCATAAATCTCAACATCTGCTGCTGCTTTAGCACCATTTACTGATGTGTGTGAACATTATTTAAAAAGGCTGATTAAACCTTCAGTATTTATAAAAACATTCATGAACATTCATATATTCATATATATATATGTATATATATATGAATATAAAAAGCTTTAATTTTCTTTTCCACTTTCTATTTCTGTTGTTTGTCAAACATTTTTTTTTCTGTTCAAAGGATCAAAATCTAAGAGAAAAACATGACTGGAGGGAAATGAGAAGAGCCGTCTTTTGGCTCTTCAGCATGACCGTTTCTCTTCTGAAGAGAAGATATGATTGTGTTTTCGATTAGCATCAACGAAGGGTCAGCTCCATACGGACTTGTTTAACCTTTTTACTTACATTCTTGAAGTCGTGCACCTCCACAACCTCCTTACTGCCGTTCCCCATTCTGAAGATCTCAGTGAGGTCAGCTGGGTCAATCTCCATCACACTGTTTGTCTCTACGCCGTCCACCACGGCTTTGTACTCATGGTCATACACCTGCAATGATATGAACCACCAGAAAACTCTTACAATAGCTCAGACCGTTAAAGAGATGGTGAAATTCAGAGTGTTTTAAGTTGCAGCTACAATGTCTGTCAAAAGTGCTTTGGGCTTTAGCAACACAGCATCTCAGATTTTTAATTCAAACGGGTCTGGATCTTACCGACAGCTGTTCTTCCAAATGGAAAAAAATATCTTAATGAGGATTAAATAATATTATATGCCGAAAGAAAAAAAACAGTGTTAAGAAGAAAAACAGAGACAGAAAAATTGCAGCTAGCATGGCTTAGAAGGACATCATCACATCTTACAGAAAAGCAAAGGACAACAGCTAGAATGTGCTAAATATTACATTGGCTCATATTAAATAAAGAAGCTGGTCAAAAATGACTATACTCATTTTCATTTTGAGAAAATGTTATGATATATAAGTGTTCTTAAGAGACGGTTGTGTCAGAATATATTGATAAAACCCCTTAAACTATTAAAATATAAACAAATAGCAGTCTATCCTTACAAAAAGTACTTTTGAGTGAATATTTGCTAAAACTGGAGGAACTGATTGATGTAATTTGGCGTCGAGAATCTAAAGGGACTCTTTAGCTATGGTGGACCATATTTGGCCTTGAGTTTGACACGTGCAGTAAACAGTATTTACCTCGTTGCCAAGTCGTTGTTCAGAAGCTATTTAGTTGTTGAAACAAAGTTGTTTAATCACTTTGCTGATGAAAGGATTGAGGCAACAAAGCAAAACCTCCTTTATTTTCCAGCCCCGTCTGCTTCAATGTTTAACAAACTTTTTCACTGACCCCATTTAAGAAACCCTCACAGACCCAAAACTGCCCCTGAAATAACACATCCTAATATACGCAACCTGAAACTAAAGTATTAGTCTCTTATCTCATCGTCTTTGTTGCTCCTAATGTGAAGGGTGGCGCTGTTTTAGAAATGCGACAATGAAAAAGCCAACTGGGGTGATTTGAGTTATTTACAAATTCTGAAAGTATGGATTCTAATTTTTCCAAAGATTGAAAATACATAGAAATCAAAAAGGTTCTTTACTAGAAGTGTTGTGTGAATTAACATTTTATTGCTGTTTGTACTTCAGAAACACAATAAAAGAAAAATAGACTAAACAAATATTTTCTTTCAGCCAGTAGAGAGCCCAACATTAATTTTATTATGATGTACTTAGTCAGCGTGGGGTGCAGCACTGTTCACCATTTTGAGCTCAGAATGTGACGCTACTGTTAGCTTACCAAAAGATTGTGTTTAAAATGAATGATAATGGATAAATAGCTGAGACAGTCATTAAAAAAAAACCCTGAAGATACCGGTGGAGACTTTCTCAGGGTGAGTTGCAGAACTTTTTTTTTTAACACTATTTCAACAAGTAAGCAATTGTTTACATGCAGTACCTGGCAAACCACTAGGGGGGGCCCCTAATGAGAAAGACTGATCTACTTGATAAAAAATAAAAATAATTGTGAGCACCTTTAAACTATAAGAACTTGATTATTTCTTTTAAAGCCTCACAATATTCTCTGAAATACAACAGCAGGAGGGTGAAAAGAAAAAATACCCCCACAAACTAATGTTGATGCAGTGGAATAGCTCACATTACTTTTAAAATGTAAAACTATATGGATAATGTTGAATTGTTGAAGTAAAATATTTGCGTTTGCAAACTAAAAGGTCAAATATGAAAATGCACTTCTCGAACTTTGCCTCCAGAAATCAAAATAAAGACGTTTTAAATCGGTGGTACAGTTGAGGTTTTCTCTCCAGTGCGTTGCCTTTAAGCAATGTTGTTTATCACAACCGCTCGCTTATGTACTGTTCTTGGACACGCATGGATAGCTCTTAAAATTCCCTGTCTGAAAAAATGATTCATGCCCACCAGCTGAAAATATGCTATTAATATTTATGTGAGGGTTGTGTTATGATGAGAAATATATTGCTGGGTTCATCTTCATCTGTCTCAGTGGCAAATCAGAGCCTCGCCAATGAGACACATGATTAATGAACACACTCATATGGGGAGTCCATCAGGATTTATATCCCCCATCAGAACCATCTCAATGTCCTCTAACACTCTAATGCAAAATTAGCTTTCAGTCTAAACTCCTCCTCTTGTTCCGTATTTAACGTGTTTTGTATTGACTAGCTTGTACACGGCTATAGGACATGTAGGTGTTCCACATTACAGACAATGATCACTTCTCGCTTTTCTGTGGTGGAGAAAGAAGTAATGGGATATGATTCCTAATGCCATAAGCCAATAAATTTCTGTTAAAATGGGTCGCAGAGCTCTGAAAAGTAACCTAAAATTATGAGGAGAAGGGAAATTAAGATGGGCTTGGAATTTAAGTGTCAATTGAGTAGTGATAGATAAAATTGGGGCTATTAAACCTCCTGGCTGTGTGGTGCATTAAAGTCCTATTTGGGAATTTCTTTTGTATTAACATAAAGGTGGGAGAGAGGGAATAGATTTTGGAGGCTTATTGATTTATACTAAAACAGAGAATTACATTTTCAGCAGGCTATCTCGTCTGATGAAAATCCAGCAGCGAGAATCTCCCCACCACACCGGGCTGAAATAGATAATAATGTATTACAACAGTTTGACTTAAACTGGTTCAATAGCTAAAGCTGCTGCTGTGCACAGTAATTGGCATTCTGAAAATAGAAATGAATAGCCTTTGAAAGCCTTTTAATACTCATGCTCAAGTACACAGAAGAACCTTCAGTGCGATTTATGCCACAGATGCCTTTTCAGCACAATGTAATGCTTTACCTTTGTGTATTGAGGATAATGTTTTTGGATAGTTTATGAATAGATTTTGTGCATGTTTCAAAATCCTTGTCAACAAATTTCGATTTAGAAGAGAAAATATTTATGAAATTCAAAGAAACTCTGTCTAAGTTTATTATCTTCATACAATAAAAACACTCAAACATCCGACATCTGTCTACATTTCCTCTAAAGTTTCTACATTTTCACTTGATGTCTGTGAGTGCTTAAAACTATTCTTGTTTCTGGATGATGAGTCAACAACAAAACCCTTATCTTTTCCAACAGCCATTGTAAAACCAAAAACCCAGCTGACCAAACATGCTAGAGTTTAACGTTGGTTGCTAGGTAACGGCGCAGAGCGTGTAGATTGTGATTTAACAATTTGGAGGTTTTTGAAATGGCTCATTTCCCAGACATCAATAAATATGAACGACTTGCCAAATGTAAGCTTTAAAAGCAGTTGAAACCCAAATGGAAGCATAACAGTGTGGAGATGTGAATTTAGGACAACAAAACAACTTTAAAGCACATATTGGATATATATTACTATAGTAGTGAAGCTGCAGAGGCAACTGATTCCTCAACTGAAACAGAAGAAGAATGGGGACAACTTTATCAAGTTAGCTGAGGGCAAAAAACAGACTCAGAGTGCACACATCCCCAAATTGCACATTTGCAGAGAATCAAGAAGCTGATGGATTCATCAAGTTATATTTTTAAATTAAAAGCGAATTTACAAAATGGTAAAAGACAAGACCTCCCATCATCCTCTATGACGAGGAGAGGGGACAGTCTACAAACATTTTAGTGTGATTATAATTGTACTGAACAGTCAGAACCGACAGACACAAGTGACCAGTGGAAAAACAGTAGTACGTACAGTGAGAGATGATGGTGGTGCAGCACCAAACATGTCTGGCATCAACAAATCAGCAGAGAATGCTGAGAATCTCATTCTACACCTGATTGAATATGATTGCATATTACTTTCTGCTAGTCAGCTGTGAATGAGACAGTGATTGTGACAAATGAATAAACCAGATGATGCAAATAAATTAATGCAGACGCCACTGCTGTGCCGCGCTCAAATTAGCGCTTTGCTCCACTTTCCTGAATCGGCCACATTTCACAGGTCTTGTCACCTTGGCGGCAGCAGAAGCTCACGCCATCTGACATGCTCTGGAAAACACACAGATTTAGATAAAATAGAACCTGTTGATGAGCCGAAGCCTGAGGTAGAATCTATAAAATAGATCTACGTAAAAAGGAGCAGTGATTTTTCTTTCTACTTATTGTGTCTTTGCTATTTAGTTTATGTACAACTAACCAAAATTGAAGTTATTCCTGATTTCTGATACTTAAATCACAACATTTTATTTTTACATGTTGCAGTATTTAATTTTTTATTTATTTTTTTAAGTTATAATTCATTTTTTAAGTAAAGTTCACTTAATGTGCAGATTTGATTACAGAGGACCTCAAGGGAGAAGGAGTGGCCATCGAGGTTGCCTGACTTCAGCTCTGGTGGTAACTGTAAAGGTCTGTGGCAGCAGGATAAACCCAATAACTAATAATTATTTTAATGAACTGCATGTCTTTGCCCATGAGGAGTGTGCAGAGACTCCTCAGGATCGCTGCCAAACGCTGCCGCCTGGCTATGAATCACTTTAACAGCAGATCAGGGCAGCAAACGGGCGCTCTACTAAGGAGTAAAGATGCTTGTCATAATTTGGAGTCATTAAAAAGAACATTTTACATTGAATTTAAAGAACCCACTGTGATATTAGTTACGGTTTTATTTGTTTACTGGAAACAGTAACGCATACTAACCTGCAGTAGGGTTGAATAAATTTAGATGCATAAATAACCTTAATGGAAGACAAAGCAATAGGTTTATTTAAAGATCACAATGTGCTGCAAAGGTCAACATTTTTATCGTTTATCAGTTATCGTGACAAATTTCTTATTATAAGAGTTTTTGACTTATCACTGTCACAATTAGCACCCTAGGTTGATCATTTAAAAATTTTCTCCAGTTTGTTCAATGAAAGCGTCAATAAATACCAATAAATCTGAAAATACAGTTTTCATGTGCAAATTAGCAATTAAAAAAAAAAAAACACTTTTACGTGACTGTATTCTTAAAGAAGCATATTACCATCAGGAATGTTTTTCAAAAGCTTATTTAAAAATATAAAAA